TCACTTTAAGCTGAATACTACACTGTAAAAATAAATCTGTAATTTTACGATAAAAAAAAGCGTGAAATAACGGACATTAAATTACAGAAATATACTTAAATTAAAATTTCTTTAATTCAACCTCTGTTATTTTACAGTAAATTTCTGTAATTACCGGTTGTTATTTTACGTTTTTTCCAGCACCCCAGCTGCCGGAAATGAACCGTAAAACTATTCTTTTTTTTTTTTTACAATTTAGTATCTTGACAAATATCTAGTCACATATTCTTTACTGTCATCATGGCAAAGATAAAAAAAATCAGTTGTTAGAAATGAGTTATTAAAACTATTATGTTAAGAAATGTGCTGGAAAAATCTTTCCATTAAACAGAAATTGGGGAAATATGCAGGAGGGCTAATAATTCTGACTTTAACTATGTACAGCTATAGTCTTTTTTTTTTTTTTTTTTTTTTTTTTTTAGCTTGCTCAGAGTTCGGAGAAAAACTTTCTGCATGACTGGCTCCACAAAAAAAGCACTCTGAACTTCATCAAAGTTAGCAAACAACACAAAAGCCGTGTTTTGTTTCACTCCCACAGTGTCGCACCATCTCTGAACAAATGTTAATTTTGTGAAGGTCGACAAGCCTCTCCTTGCGGAGGAAGATTTGCGAGGGAACACTTTGTTTTCTCCAGAGCTCTGTGAACTCGACTGTGCTTCAGTACAGCTATAGAGCATGCAGGTGGTCTTGTGGAAAGTTCAAATGAGGGGTGATCATTCTTAGCCTTTATTAAGAGCGCTTGCTGCTCACATTCAGAAGTTGTACACTTTTTTTGTATTGCTTTTGTGTGTATGTGTATGTTTTTATATACAGTTGAAGTCCTCCTGAAATATTGGCCCTCCTATATATGTTTCTCCAATTTCTGTTTAAAGGAAAGTTTTTTCAACATATTTCTAAACATAATAGCTTTAATAACTTATTTACTGAATTCTCGTATCTTTGCTATGATGACAGTACATAATATTTTACCAGATATTTTTCAAGACATTAGTATTTAGAATAAAGTGACAATTAAAGGCTTAACGCTGTAGACCAATGGTAGCCACTTCAACCAAAAATACGTGCTCTCCAGCTGTCTCCCTTCAATAACATTTAACAGTTTAAAAAATGATAACCATTTCTAGAAATCAGTTTCCTATTGAAAATACAATTACAATTTTTACGTTTCGACCAATGCACGTGTTCGGTGCTGTGAATAAAATTGCATCGTGACACCAATGAAGGGCGAATGTGTGTGCGTGGTTACCATGAAATATAAGTTGCTTTGCCCTTTATTTACTCAATAACAGTAAAGTAATATTTTTTGGGTCCCACTTTATATTAAGTGTCCCTAACTACTATGTATTTACATCAAAAAATAAATACAATGTATTTACTGTGTTTATAATGTATTTGAGAACACTTGTGGTGCTTTTAAGTTGGGATAGAGGTTGGGTTGTGGACAGGTTTGGTGGCATGGGTAGGTTTAAGGGTGGGTTAAGGTGTAAGGGATGGTCAACAGTGTATTTACAAATGTAATTACAAAAGTTAATTACAGATGTAATTACATACATGTATTTAATCAAGCATAAGTACACAGTAAATACATGTATTTACACAATAAGTACATTGTAACAAACTATTAATTCTTATGTAAGTACATGTTAGTTAAGGCCACTTAATATAAAGTGGGACCCTTTTTTGTTCTTCAAAACTAGCGAAAATTAATATAATAACAATAGTTTATGTCATTTAAAACTAGCCAAAATAATTTTCACATAATTATTTGAAGTGTAATTTTTTATAGTAGTTAAATGTTTGTTTATTTTAAATTATGCTGCTTTTCAGGAAAAAAAGAGTTTATTTACCAGAAATTTAATTAAATTGTCCTTTCTTCATTCATGGACTTGCTTAACATGTGTTGCTTCATATTTAAACCTGTATTATTTATAGTAGTAGTATATATTGGGGTGCATATAAATAAATAAATATATATAGTGAGAGAGTTGAAGTCAGAATTATTCGCCCCCCTATTTGTTTATTTTTTTCAACACATTTCTAAACATTATAGTTTTAATAACTCATTTCAAATAACTGATTTATTTTATCTTTGCCATGATGACAGTAAATTATAATTGACTAGTTATTTTTCAAGACTCTTCTATACAGCTTAAAGCGACATTTAAAGGCTTAACTAGGTTAATTAGGTTAACTAGGCAGGTTAGGGGAATTAGAAAAGTTATTGAATAATGATGGTTTGTTTTGTAGACTATCGACAAAAAAAATGGTTAAAGGGGCTAATAATTTTGTCCTTAAAATGGTGTTTAAAAATTTTTTAAACTGCCTTTATTCTAGCCGAAATAAAACAAATAGGACTTTCTCTAGAAGAAAAAAATATTATCAGACTTACTTTGAAAATGTTCTTGCCCTGTTAAACATTGTTTGGAAAATAACTAAAAAAGAAAAAAAAAAATCTAAGGGGGCTAATAATTATAACTTCAACTGTATGTATAAATATATATAAATATATAAATATATATATATATATATATATATATACATACATACATTTATATACACACACATACATACATACCTCTTAAACTAACATCATTTATCCGTCAGGTATGGCAACCAAAAATTTGATTGATTTTAGGTTTGACGTTGGACATTAACGTCAGCCTGACATTGGGTTCTGATGTGAACAGAATTTTCATTTCAAAACAAATTGCAACATTCCAACAATGTTAGAGGACAACGTCAATCTGACGTCATGTTGACGTCTTATACCTGCTGGGTGTTTAAGGCCATTTCGGTCATCATACAGTAAACATCTGTCATCTACTCGTCAGTGACATGCATCTAAACAGTCTCTGGGTCAATGTGTGTAAAGATTTTGCACATCTTCTTGGACACTTTTAATGCCAAAGAGTTTTCTGCAATAATAATTCACCCATGTCCTGAGGTAGTTCATTAGGATGTGATTTACCTTCTGTGTGATTTGATTGGCCAGAAATCACAAAACTGATTTTACTAATCCCCATAGACAGGATAAAATAAAGTAGTGGCTGCAGGTTGAAGGAAAGTAATGGAGCAAAAGTACAGATACAGCACTAAAAACGTACTCAAGTGAAAGTAAAAGTACACATTTTTAAAACTACTAAGTAAATTACAATTTCAGAGAAAAACTACTCAGTTACAGTAGCTTGAGTATTTATAATTCATTACTTTACACCACTGCGTACATCCATTTGAAACGGTTTCTAAATTTATAAAAAATTAGGGTGATGCATGATTTCATCCTTTGGAATCTGATTGAATTGTTGCAAGATGATTGTTGATAACAAAATGGAGGAGAAAAAATAGGAAGATTGGAATGGCAGTTTGCACTCAGTTGTGGTGGGTTACTGTCCACAGGAATTACTATCGGCAAAGGGGAAATTGATGTGGGAATCCCTTGTGATGCTCACATGAATAACTCTCCTGTTCTCCTTTTGGTGAACTATACTGCTGTACACTGAAGTTACAAATTGGGAGATTTCAGTTTGGGCTTTGCCACAATGCATATCAGAAATGAGGAGTTGAGAGTAGTTGAGGAATAGTTCAGTTTAAGCTCTTTTTTCCATTTGTGTCCTGTAGATATGGTTTCATGGTGGAGATCAGGGGTTAGTTTGGAAGAAGGCGGCAGATACATTTTTTAGCCAAGATGTCATATATATTCGATGCGATGACATATATTCAAAATGCCCTCATTAAAGTCAACATCTAGAACAGGCTTCCCTAAATGGGGATGTTACAGAGGGGTTTGTGATAGCTTGCTGTGGAAATATGCGTATGTATGTAACCAATGTACAAATTTTAACAAGCACGAATGCAAAATGGTTTATTTATATGTCAAATTTAAGAGACAATTTGCGAAAAAAAATATTACAGTAAGTTAACATAAACACATGGTCATGATTTACATTAAGCTTCAGTTAGTTAATGTCAGTTAAAGTGTGCACGGACATTGAACTATTAATTAAAAATAGCTTGTTTACATTAGTTCATGCACTGTGAGTTAGCAAAAACAAAGAAACAAAGAACTTTATTTTCATTAACGTTAACAAAGATTAATCAACACTGTAATAAGGCTGTTTCTCAATATCCGTTCTTCGGCGATTTTTGCGTCCTCGTGTTCTCGTGTAACGTCATCATCAGCTGCCAAAGTTCAGTTCCAATACTCAAGACCGCAAGAACAGAGTGTTCTTGATATCGAGGACGCACTGATGCAGACTTGAGCACCAAACTCGCTCTGGAAGTCCCAGAAGTCATTGCGACTGGGGGTGGGAAGCGCAGCATTTTATTTTGATTTACTATTAAAGTTCAGAGATATCACTTATTCATCTCAGGAGTTTCCCTAAATTAAACGGTAAATATAAACATTACCATGGACATCTTAATAAAGGAATAAACACATTAAGGGTGTTTGTTTGCTGAAATTCATATTAAAATCTATTTTATTTATATTGTGCAGCGCATATCTATAATGTCTTTATGCAGAGTATATATTTTGAAAAGGGGAAAAACAATAAATCATTGTATGAATGCTGCAATGTTTAAATCATTTTCCATTTAAAACGTGTGAAGGTCATGTGACCATCAGGAAGAACGCAGCATCATTCCTCACAGGACGCGTTCTGTGTTCTCGTGGTTTTTTCTAAGTTCGTTCTTCCGAGGACACCCGGCAAGACCGGTCTTCAGAAGAACGCAAGTCTGATCTCTGAGTTCTTGGAATTGAGAAACAAGCCTTAATGTATTGTTCGTTGTTTAGTAAATACATTACTAACTGAACCTTAAATTGTTTCCAAAACATATAAAGTGAAATAAATGTTAACGTTGCAAGAAGACGGACTGTTTTTACTTTAGTGTGTCGATTAAATGACTACCTATAATAATAAATGCTTTAATTCGCCAATTCTCTTCTGCTTTTGTCGTTTCAGATTCGACGACGAAGACCCACGCCGGCCACTTTGTTTAAAGTAGCCGATCAAACATCTCCTGAGGACGACATTACCTCCCATCAGGTAAACCACAGCGCCACCTCTGTTCTGGAGGTTACACTGCATTCATAAAACATTTGCTGCACTACTGTATAGACCAAGAGTGTCCAAGCTCAGTGCTGGAGGGCCGATGTTCTGCTGAATTTAGCTCCAACTAGCTTCACCACACCGACCAGGAAGTTTATAGTATATCTAATAAGAGCTTGATCAGCTGGTTCTGCTGTGTTTGATTAGGGTTGGAGCTAAACTCTCCAGGACACTGGCCCTCCAGTACTGAGTTTGGACACCCCTGTGCTATGCAATTGAGGGTGTAAGTCAGGGGTGGGCAAACTCTGTCCTGGAGGCTGGTATCCTGCAGAGTTTACCTCCAACCATAATCAAACACACCTGCCTATAGCTTTCGAGTGACATTAAAGACACTACTTTGCATGTTCAGGTATGTCTGATTAGCAATTGTGCAAACTCTGCAGGACACCGGCCCTCCAGAACAGAGTTTGCCCACCCCTGGTATAGACTATTTCAATTTGGTGATGTCATTGGCCCATGAACATTTCCTGCTTGTTGTCAAATTATTTCATAACTGTAAAAAGAGAAAATGTAATCTTAAATTCATATTAAAACAGCTCTCATTACATCATTGATCAATATCGAGACCTTTTTGTATTCTCGGAAGCTATAAAAATTAAAAATGTAAAACAGGAAACGCGTAAGGACCATCGTTATTGTTTACATCCATCAAAATGGTCACTCTAACAATTTCTCTCGATAGACAGTGGCACAATGATGATACTGTAGTACTTAAATTACATTATACCATACGCTAAATCATATTCGTGTCTGTGCATTTAAAAAAAGTTAATTTTTAATATTCTGCAAAATAATAATTAACGCATTCATTTTTTTCTATCTGGCTATTTTTCATAGCCAAAATGACCGCATAGTATAATAAAATTAATATAGAGAATCATTATGTATTGTTTTATATATATAGACAGATAGATGAACAGATAGATAGATAGATAGATAGATAGATAGATAGATAGATAGACAGACAGACAGACAGACAGACAGACGGACGGACGGACGGACGGATAGATAGATATGCAGATAGATGGATGGATGGATGGATGGATGGATATGCAGATAGATAGATAGATAGATGAATGGATGGATGGATGGATGGATGGATGGTTATATGGATAGATAGATAGATAGATAGATAGATAGATAGATAGATAGATAGATAGATAGATAGATAGATAGATAGATAGATAGATAGATAGATAGATAGATGATAAATAGATAGTTTGATAGTTGAAATCAAAGTAGTTACAGACTAATAACTTCTAAATTTACCTTTTATGACATTTTGTTTTATTTTACATAATATTATGTTTTATGTGTGTGTGTAGTATTATGTATTCAGTATTACATTTTGTAATGTTATGTTTTTTATGTCATATTTTATATATTTTTTACTATTGTGTTGTTTTTATATATATATATATATAATTGTATATGTTTTATTTACACATGAATATTGTTTTTATTAACTCTCTTTAGTGGGTTGTTGGAGAAAACGGCATCCTCAAACCAAAGCGAATTAACCCAAATATCTACCAGCCCCCATCATTAAAAGGTAAAAGCTTGTCGTTTTGCTTATAAAATTAAGCTATTTCTTATTGTGCATATTTATTTATATACATAGATATTGTATCTGAAGGCTTTCCTGCACTGTGCCAACCCAAGGTTTCAAAAATCACCACGACAAGTGTGTTTTCCCCATTTCTGTGTGTGTGTGTGTGTGAGATTAGAGATGGTGACAGCTGTGATGGGTGTGAGTCTGTGCCGCTCTGGATCATCCAGGATTACAGCAGATAGCATACAGCTGCAAACACACACACACACACACACATACAGTTTTAGAGGACAGGCGTCCATCAGACCAGAGCACTAAAAGATTGTGACCCACTGAGGACAATCTAGATTACTAGATTATGTCAACATAACGGAGCTGCTGTTTTCCTTTTTAGCTTGGCTTTAGAGGTACTTTCAATGACAACTAAATAACTGGCAAAATAATGTTTTCCTCAATTTAAAGTATGTGATTTGAACTATGAAAGAAGTGAAATCCTTTAACACTGAATTTTACAGCACTAGTCAATTTTTAGCACTAGCCATGAGAACACTACGAGTTAAATCTTGCACACTTGTGTTGTCTCTGGTGAGTAATGACATTGGAAACGAATGTGTAACTAATTTAATCTAGCTGAAATATTTGGCAACCACTGCATCCAGATGCATTTTTACAAAAAACGTAACTTTTTGGATGGTATTCTCAAATCTGACAAACAAAATGATTTCGATTTTATGGTTTAGCTTTTCAAGTATTTTCGAAAGATATGTATTTCATCTAAGAGTTGTAAATTACATTTTTTTGTGCTATTTACGATAATCACACGTATCAAATTTCACTTATTTAATCTGCCAAGTGTCTTACAAAAACAAAACAAACCAACACAGGCTCATTCTGAAAACGTAGCCCGTAATACATTTCTAGAGATCGCAAATTATGTAGCCAGAGGTACGTATGGCTGCATTTACTCTTTAAAACAAACAATACGAGGCGGAATTTTCGGGCTGGCCATCTGACCGCTTACCTCTATATAGACGGCTTTCCCGCTGATACCAGTTTGCTCAGTAGCTCGCCATGTATGTCGGCGGACTTGAGACACAGAGAGTAGTTGACGGGGTTCAAGTCTGGTGAAGAACTGTCCTAGAAAATAGTGTAAGGTAAGGTAAGGTAAGGTAAAACTTTATTGTCCCAGTTAGGGAAATTTGTCTTGGGCTCTTGCCCTCAGCTGCAGTCATCACAAACATGGACAAAACAATAAACATACAAAACACAAATAGGTAATTCAATAAAAGTTACAAGCCTCACTCCATGTACACATAAATAAGCAAACTGATACTCTCAATCTAAGCCACCACTATTATTTAATAGCTTAATGCTCGTAGGATAAAAAGAATTTTTATATCTGTTTAATCTACAGCAAGGTACTCTGAATCTTTTCCCCGAGGGTAACAACTCCTATTCCTTGTGCAGAACATGTAATACGTCACAAACAATTTGTTTAGCACACCTTAATGCCTCCTGTTCATACATATCCTGCAGTGACATCAGCTCTGATACACCTATAATTTTCCAGGAAATGTGAATTAAACAAACTATTTTAGATCTCAGCTGCACAGACAAGTTGCCGAACCAAGCTGTGATACCGTACCTTACCACACTCTCAAACAAAGCCTTATAGAACATGATCATACATTTCTGATCCACTCCATAAATTCTTAGACGTCGTAAAAAATACACAGTGAGGCAAAAACAGAAGCCAGAAAATAAAATAAACAAGTAAATAACAGGGTCAGAATGTCCGTCGACATTTTGGTGGATTTGCGAAAACAAAAACTGCAGTAAACATAGCTCCTGGGACGGATTTGGCGCTCTCCAGAAATGTATATAGGGGTACGTTTTTAGAATGAGCCTGGGTTTTAACAAACAGTACTTAAAAGGTAATAAATGCATCAAAACTACCGCACAAATCTAATGTAGTAGCATTAAATCCCCAAAATACAATACAAAATGATTACTGAACTAAAATATAGTGCATTCAAATCATTGAAATAATAACAAAACAACAACAGAAGCTCTAATTTAGACGATCACTCACGTAACACCAGAGATATTATAATAATAATAACATTGTATGTACATAAAGTAAAGGTAACCCTTTTATTGTAATATGATTAAGCCTGTCACAATAATCAATATATTATCTTATCGTACGACACGTGGACATGACCTCTATTATTTTTGGTGATTCAATATACATCGCCCACTCGTAAAAAACATCTCTACATGCAACATCTCTATCTCTATTGGAGGTGTCAGTATGTTTAAACAAACACTATAGTATTTACTATAAATGACTATAGTATATTTTCATGTGGGTGTCTGACAACTGAAAATAGATCTGGTAGCAGATATCACCGCCTCTGTTAGTTTTGACCTTGCACTTTTGGTTAACATTTATTATTATTTAATTAAGATATTCCTTTTCACATTCTGATTCCACGACCTCATCATTAAATAAATAAAATGACTATGATTAAATATTCTTAAGAATGAAATATTATTAAATTCACCTTTACTTGTATAGCGCTTTTACAGTGTACATTGTGTCAAAGCAGCTTCACATAGAAGATCATAGTTGACTGAAACAGTGTAGTTCAATTTTCAGTGTTTAAGTTCAGTTCAGTTTAGCTCAGTTCAGTGTGGTTTAATAATCACTACTGAGAGTCCAAACACTGAAGATCAATCCATCGATGCGCAGCTCTACAGATCCCGAATTATGCAAGCCAGTGGCGACAGCAGCGAGGAAAAATCTTCACCATTTGGCGAAAGTGAAGAATTAAAAAACCTCAAGAGAAACCAGGCTTAGATGGGCACGACCATTTCTCCTATGGCCAAACGTCTTGTGTAGAGCTGCAGTCTAGGCGCCAGCGAAGACTCATCTGTCCCTGGAGAGTCACAGGAATCAGTCACATGCTCTCCACTTCTCCATGACCACTACAGCAGCTGCTCAGGATACGGCCTGGTCCAGGATTATGGAACCATGGGATTATCTCATCGCTGGTCTTGGATTGAATAGGTGGCGCTGCATAGTCTGAGAGCCTCGGGATGAGTATCCCCAGGTGGAAATAGAGGCTAAAGAGAATAATTAGCGTAGCTGCTGTTCACAGTCTATATAAACGAGATGCAAAAACTTGTGTGGGGCACATTCATGCATCATACCACTATGTGATATGCAAGCTTCTGATATCTGATATCTGACTGTATGCTTTACTAAAAAGATAGGTCTTTAATATAGGATTGAATTGGGAGAGTGTGTCTGAGCCTCGGACATTATCAGGAAGGCTATTCCAAAGTTCAGGAGCCATAAATGAGAAGGCTCGACCTCCTTTAGTAGACTTTGCTATTCTAAGTACTACCAGAAGCCCTGAGTTTTGAGATCTTAAAGAGCGAGTTGGATTGTAGCAAGACAGAAGGTTGGTTAGTTAAACAGGAGCTAGATTATTTAAAGCTTTATAGGTAAGAAGCAATATTTTAAATTCAATATGAAACTTAACAAGCAGCCAGTGTAAGGAGGATAAAATAGGGGTGATATGATCTTATTTTCTAGACCTGGTAGGAGCTCTGGCAGCTGCATTTTGTACTAGCTGAAGTTTGTGTTGAATTACGAATGATGTGTTTTTTGGAAGAGTGTACTTGCATTATGATGCTATTATATTGTCATTCTGGCATAAAATTGTATTAAAATGACAATAATATCAATTAATTCAATATATTTTGGTGCAATATAGCATACAACAATATATATATATAAGGCATAAATATGATCTCTAAATGTGTGTTTTGTCCACAAAGACGTCCACACATCCTGTCACTCCAGCATAAATAAACCTATTGTGTTCGGCACGGTGCAGAAGTCTTGTTAAAAAAGCAAACAAGTCCATCCCTCTTTACCTGTGTGTGTGTGTGTATTTGCATGTGTTCCTGTGTTTATTTTTTCCTTGTGATTTGGTGATCCCTGATTTGTGTGTGTCCCGCTGTGTGTGTGTAGCCGTGCAGCAGATGGCTGAAGCTCAAATGCAGAAATTAGGTGTGTATCCTCATGTAGAGGAGGAGGGGGAGGAGCCTGTTCACAGAGGGGGGGCGGAGCTCTGCTCATCCTGCACAACTGGTAATATTAATATCGCCATATAATCCGCTGCATGCGCATGTGTTCGTTATTGTTGAAGATGAATCACTGGATTTAAGCATTTTTATTAAGGTAAGTGGTTGCAAACAATTTATGTGAGCTGAAATTAAACCAACAAATTAAATTAGCACTGTTGTCTCACAGCAAGAAGGTCGCTGGTTCGAGTCCCCGCTGGCTCAGTTGGCATTTCTCTGTGGAGTTTGCATGTTCTCCCCATGATGGTGTGTTTCCTCCGGGTGCTCCGGTTTCCTCCACAATCTAAAGACATGCACTATAGGTGAATTGGATGATCTAAATTGGTAGTAGTGTATGAGTGAAAGTGTAAAAACATTTGTCGGAATAGTTGGCGGTTCATTCCGTTGTGGCGACCTCTGAAATAGAGACTAAGCTGAAGGAAAATGAATGAACACTCTAAAAAATAACCCAAGAGGTCTGTTACCACTAGTTTAACACATTGTTGTAACTTAAAAGTTCTAAATTGCTGATCAGATTAAAACTTTTAAGTTGCCAGAATAATTGTATTGAGTTTTTTAAAACAGGAAAATATTGATAATTGCATACATTTTTAAAAATGTGGCCAATTTAAAGGTAAATTTATCTGTCAGTTATTTTAAAACAATATTTAACTTGTAGCAACCCAAAGAAATTGGGTTATTGTGACAATTTTCCACACTAGTGGAGTTGTTTTGTATATTTAAGTCCACATGATGTTAATATGGGACAGTACATGTTTTTGTTTTTTATAAAAATGAAAATCTATGGATTAATACAAATAAAAAATTTCCCGCTGGAAAAAAATGTTGTTAAATGTGTTTCTTACAAGCAACTAAATGAACAGTAAATTTAAAAACAAACAAAACATTAAACAATTTCGGCTAATTAACTTATTTGAGATTCTAAACCTGAAAACTTGCATGTAATTAAGTACATAACACTGGATTTGTCTTTGGTTTTAATGAAAAAACTAATTGAAACAGTAAGAACTTTAAAAAATTAAGTTTATGCTATGTAAAAATGCTTCTGATTGAAGAGGAAAAGGTCATTTGGCTAACATAATAACGTTTGTTGTCTGAACTTCATTTTGTTAGATGTTGTCATAACATGAATATATTGATGGAAACTGAGTAATTTTTGTTTGTTTGGTCTAAACAATATTTTTTTTGAGTGAATGAATGAATAATTTCAGCCCATATAAATAGTTTGCAACCACTTACCTTAAAAAAACTGTAAATTCAATAGTTATTATTTTCAGTGGACTTTCTCATGCAACCTTGACATTTGTAATTGATATTAAAATGCAATATATATATTTTTTCATTTTTAATGTTTTCATACTAATTAATAAAGTTGAATCAGCATTATGTTAACCTGTAAACTATAGTGATGGAATTTTTCCAAAAATGTTTACATAAATGTTGCCATTTAGAGTTATTTTTAAATCTAAAATAACTAAAAGGCATCATGTTTTAAATGTTTGTATTCATTTTCAGACTAAACATAAATATCCAATTTTGTAACTTCAGAAGTCCTGAGTTAAAGCAATATTTGTTTAAAACATTTGTTATTCTCAACAATTGTATACATTTAGAGATGAAAATAAATATTAACATTTTACTCAACCACAAAGCTGATACATTCAGAAAATGCAGTTTTCAAATGGTCTCTTTTTTTCCTCATGTACACCGAAAACAAAAATATTCATTGGATTTACTAAATTATTTGAAGGTAAGTGCTTGCAAACACTTTATTTGGCCTGAATATAAACAAATAAATTAAGTTGAACAGTGCTAAATTTAATTTGTTTGTTTAAATTCAGCCGATATAAAATGTTTGCCACCACTTACCTTGAAATAATTCAGTAAATCTAATGAATATTTTTGGGATATTGTTTTAGGCTATAGACATATACTTTGAATAAGCTTCTATTGCATTAATCGCTGTAATTTTTTATATTTTTTTATTTTTTGCTAAATTCATTGATCTTTTATATCTCAAAGTCAACATCATCAATCAAGCTGACTAAAATATTAATTTAAATTTATGAAGTTATTAAAATGTAAAACTGATGAAAATAAGTTGAGGTAGCACAAAAAAATTGTCATGATGACTTTTTGTCATATTTTGCTTGCAGTGTGCATAAAGCAAAGATTCATCCGCTAAATAATGTGAGCTATGGAAAATAATTTTAAGTTAGCAGCCATTTTCTTGGTCTGGCCCTTGTAGAAATATACTGAATTTATTGTAGACCCTATTTAACACAGTTTTAGGTGTATCTGTTCTGCAAATATCACTTCTATAAGGTGTTTAAACACAGTTGTGTGGCAACAGTCTGTGAATATAGCCAACTTCTAATAGTAAAAATCACACTTCATAAAAACAGTCTGCAGAAACACTGTGATTGACCCTCTCCCTTTGTAAATGTCATCAAAGGGGCAAAGCCCCGCCCATTAGTGAAGATCTCTCCCTCATTAGCATAGGCAGCCCTGAGTGTGAAGCTGCCATCTGTCATTAGAATTTCATTAGAGTTCATCACAAAATTAATGTTAGTCCTGTTTTGAATCTGCCACTATGCTGACACACAGGCATTTGTAGCTCCGCCCTTTTCTGAAAAGAGCACAATCTCATTTGAATTTAAAGCGACAGTCACCAAAACGACACAATTAAGATCAAAGCCTAAAAGGGTCAGTTTCAAAGAGTTATAAAACATTATTTGTGTGGTATTTTAAGCTTAAACTTCACATACACACACTAGGTACATCAGAGACTTATTTTACATCTTGTATAAAGCACCATGTTAGATTCCCCTTTAATGAAGGTGGACTTTAGTAAATTGTTTTTAAGACTTATTTTAGTCAGCTGCTTCAGAAACCTTGCATTTAGAGTAGTCTCTTTTTCCCTCAATAAACTTCAACGCAAAGTTCGGATTTTTCTTATATTTAAATATAACCCCTATCTCATGTCAGCGTTCAAAGGAAGTCTACATTGGAAAGTCAAAAAGATGACAGCAGTGATGTTTCTCCTCGTTCCTCCAGAGTTTTTCCCAATTAAAGATGAGAATATCTGAGAAAAAAAAAAACTGTGTTTTTTAATAAATCTTCTTTTTTTTTTTTAGAATCGCAGGAGCAAAGGAGCACACCAGAAAAGCAGTCTGGCATGAGGAAGACAGAAGCCACGGCACCGACCGATGAAGAAGAAGAAGAAGAAGAGGAGGAGGAGGAGGAAGATGAAGAAAAAGAAGAAGAAGAAGCAGATGATATGGCAAGAGAGGAGAGCAGAAATCTGGACTGATAGAAGTTTGAGAACTTTAGTGATTTCTTTTATTTGGTAATGCAAACTTTGTTTATTAATTATTGGTTTTCCGTGATTTCATCATTTCGCAAATAACAGCAAACTGTTTGAATCATTATAGACTCATTCTGAAAATGTAGCCCTATATACATTTCTGGAGATCGCGAATTATGTAGCCAGAGGTACATAATGCTGCATTTCTTCCTTGAAACAAACACTATGGAGTGCTACGATGCTGTTCCTTTTTGCGCTTACCAGCTGACCCACTTACCTTCGTATGGACGGCTTTCCCGCTGTTACCAGTTTGTCCAGTGGCTCGCCACTTACGTTGGCAGACTTGAGACACAGAGCAGAGTTGACCGTGATGACGGGGTTTGAGTCTGGTGAAGAATGCTTCCAGAAAGCAGCTAAGACAAAAACAAAAGCCAAAAGATAATATAAACAAGTAAATAACAGCGTGAGAATGTGTTCAAATCTGAAAACGCGGTAAAAATCTGGTGGCCGCGAGGGCTTATCTTTTTCTGGATTGCTTTTTGGGTTTAAGGAAGGGAGTGGGTGGGGGGGATCGGTCGGTTGGTCAGTCATTCAGTCAGACGACAGTGACCTCCGGTGCATTTACGTGAGAAGACCAAGCGCGAACGGCACTTGCGAAAGTAATTTGAGATCTTAAAAAGTCTACACAGCAGCCTGTAGTGGATTCGCGACAACAAAAAAAAAAAAAAACGTAGCTCCTGGGACGTATTCGGCTCTCTCCAGAAATGTATATAGGGATACGTATCCATAATGAGCGTGTTGGTTTGTATTCAGAGGGAAAACAAGAAACTCGGAAAGACTGGAACCCTGACATTGCCATCAAATAGAGACACACAACATAAAGTAAAATGTATAATGTAATATGCTTTCATACCGTCAAACAAACAAACAGGTAAAGTATGAATGATTATTTGTATGAGCTGCGTCGTGGTTGTTTGAATCATGTCATTTTTTTTTGCACCACACATTCATATTGTGTGTGTGTGTGTGTGTGTGTGTGTGTGTGTGTGTGTGTGTGGATTGTATTCACTGTGTGAGGATTAAAAAATGGCCCCACAAGTATAGCAATACTAGTCAATTTTGCCCTTGTTGGGACATGTTTTGAGTTTCCATGTTTCTTAAATCATATAGAATGAAGTATTTTGCAAATGTGAAACTGCAGGTTTACTGTGAGGGTTGGGTTTTTAAGGGTTATATAGATTTAGGGGTTATATATATTTAGGGATCGGGACAGAATATACAGTGTGTAGTATAAAAATCATGTCTATGGCAATCTCCATAAAGATACCTGTACGTGTGTGTGTGTGTGTGTGTGTGTGTGTTGTTGTGTGTTTGGATTTCATTGAGCCTACACTGCCATCTAGTGTACAGACAGTTGTTATACTGAATCCCATTAAATCATCTGCCATTAACGATAATCCTGGAGCACATGGACAAGCTCACGAAGTATTTAGCAGCAATATTTGTTAAACCACAAACATCCTGTTAGATTGCCCAATGGGTAATTTAGCAGCAAGTAAAAATATGCAGTTTAAGACAGAATTTTTAGCCCTGCAGAATTATTAGCCCCCTGCATGTTTTTCCCCAATTTCTGTTTTATTTTTTTGACACATTTTTAATCATAATAGTTTTAAAAACACATCTCTAATAACTGATTTCTTTTATCCTTGCCATGATGACAGTAAATAATATTTGACTAGATATTTTTCAAGATACTAGTATTCAGCTTAAAGTGATGTTTGAATGCTTAACTTGGTTAATTAGGCAGGTTAGGGTTATTAGGCAAGCCATTCTAAGATGATGGTTTGTTGTTAGACTATCAAATAAAATATTGCTTAATGGAGCTATTAATACTGACCTTATAGTTATTTTTTTTTTTTAATTAAGAGCTGCTTTTATTCTAGTCAAAATAAAACAAATAAGATTTTCTCCAGGAGAAAAAATATTATAGGAAATACTGTGAAAAAAAAATCCTTACTCTGTTAAACATCATTTGGGAAATATAAATAAAAATTGACAGGAGGATAATAATTCTGACTTCAACTGTATGTTTATAATTATTTATAAAAATATGTAATTAAAAATAATAATTCCAAAATAGATCATTTAAAATTCTAAATATTTCTGGATTTATTAGATATGGGTTTGAGTAAAAAGTTATTTGTTTTATTCTGGTCCGAAATCTGATTGCAAGGTCTGATAACATTTTTTTGGGAATATAGACATCAAATAAAAAATGTGCCACGTTTTCAGAAGCAAAAACAATCCCTAAAATTATTCATTTAATTATTTTTTAAATTTGGAAGTAATGTCAACAGTAGTACAAAGATACACACACATATATATATATATATATATATATATATATATATATATATATATATATATATATATATATATATATATATATATATACACACACACACACACACACACACACATATATATATATATATATATATATATATATATATATATATTGGTATATATTTAAAGTCTCAAAAATACTTTATATTTATTTCAAAACACAATTTCTTATGTATGTATTTTTTTTTCTGTTAAAAAAAACTCCCCATTTGATGTTTAACAGAATAAGGATTTTTTTTTAAAGTATTTCTTATTTAAAAGTTTTTAAAAGTCTTATTTGTTTTATTTCAGCTAGAATAAAAGCAGCTTTTAATTAAAAAAATAATAATTTAAGGTCTATATAATTAGCCCCTTTAAACAATATCCATTTTTGACTGTCTACAGAACAAACCATCGTAACTTGCCTATTACTAACCTAGTTAAGCCTTTAAATGTCACTTTAAGCTGTATAGAAGTGTCTTGAAAAATATCTAGTCAAATAATATTTACTTTCATCATGGCAAGGATAAAGAAATCAGTTATTAGAAATGAGTTACTAAAACTATTATGTTTAGAGATACTAATAATTCTGACTTCAACTGTTTATATAAGTTGTTACAAGACCACATGACCACTCATAGTATTTGGCTTCATGTCTGTAAATCCACTTTTTTGCCGTGTGGAAAAGCCTCCTCATGGCCGACTGTAAATAAGTCATTCATACAATCTTGTCTTTGTGATTCATTTGTGTTTCGTCCATTACATTGTGATCAAAGCTGCTATGAACATCACATTTGCATACTGGACGGAATTTGCATTTCTTGATATTGCTGTATTTGGTTACAGATAACAACAAGTCCAAATTCAGTGCCTCGAGGGGGTGACAGAGATATCAGAAACGAGAATATCATTTCAGTCGATTAACTGTAGAAAACAACTCGCGTTAATAGTAGCCAGATAACTTATTACTTACCTTTAGTTTTTAGTTTCTTCCTTAGCAGAAGTCTTTTAAGGGAAAATGTTGAACTATTTTTAAAAACGAATGATTAATATGAGAATCCTACAGCCACGTATTGCTTTTTTTAAGAAACTGTAACTGCTTTATATTGAATATAATCATATTTGTATGCGTATACAGTATATATATATATATATATATATATATATATATATATATATATATATATATATATATATATATATATATATATAATCCTCCGAAGCTCATGCAGGAACATGTTGTCGATTTTTGATTGATGTACAATTATAGAAAATTTACCAAATAAGTAAATGCATCCACAGGTACTATGGAGGTGATTTAGGTTAACATCTGTATCAATAAATGTATTTTCACTGAATTACAGCGTTATCTCTTTTATTTATTTGCTTCAATTATTGCTGCCATTTGACATTATTTTAAATGCTTTAAATCCACAAATTATTTCAGATTTTTATTTATTTATTTTTTTTGGTAAGCCTTTTGCCCTATCTCCAGTTATTTGTCTAATGGTTTACACCTTACACTATCTCATAAAAGTCTTGTCCTCAATTCCAGTTGTAAGAGCAAAAAATAATAGCTTGACTTCTAGTAGATCTGGAAAAGTGGCTGAAGGTCAATTTTTCAGATGAGTAATCTGTTGAACTGCATCACAGTCATCACAAATACTGCAGAAGACCTACTGGAACCCGCATGGACCAAAGATTTAAAGAAATCAGTCAAGTTTGGTGAAGGAAATATCATGGTTTGGAGTTACAATCAGTATGGGAGTGTTTAAGAGATCTGCAGAGTGGATGGCAACATCAACAGCCTGAGGTATCAAGACATTTGTGCTGCCCATTACAATACAAACCACAGGAAAGGGCAAATTCTCCAGCAGGATAGCGCTCCTTCTCACACTTCAGCCGCCACATCAAAGCTCCTGAAAGCAAAGAAGGTCAAGGTGCTCAAGGATTGGCCAGCCCAGTCACCAGATACGAACATTATTGAGCATGTCTGGGGTAAGATGAAGGAGGAGGCACTGGAGATGAATCCAAAGAATCTTGATGAACTCTGGGAGTCCTGCAGGAACGCTTTCTTTGCCATTCCAGATGACTTTATTAATAGGTGATTTGAGTCATTGCAGAGATATATGGATGCAGTCCTCCAAACTCATGGCAATCATACACAATATTAACTCATTTTCCACTGTAGCATGACTTTATACTGGACATTATTTCTGTTAAGTGACCAGACTTTTGTGTATGCTAAGTCAGACCTTTCTGTCCGAATTAAATAATTACCAATCAAGGCATGATCATATTTTATTTTGGTAAAATAAGCGTAATCTAGAGGCCTTTGCCTTTCATATAAACCCCTTCTGATACGAAATGATCAACGAGAAGAGAAATTATTATTTGTTGTTCCTAAAACTTGGATAGGCGACAAAACTTGTATGAGTGTGTGTGTGAATGTGTGTGTGGATGTTTCCCAGAGATGGGTTGCGGCTGGAAGGGCATGCGCTGTGTAAAAACTTGCTGGATAAGTTGGCAGTTCATTCGGCTGTGGCGACCCCGGATTAATAAAGGGACAAAGCCGATAAGAAAATGAATGAATGAATGAATGAATGAATGAATGAATAAAATAAGATATTTATTTAATTAAATAAGTTAAAAACATGATTTTTTAATTTCATATATTAAGATTTAGTTGTGATACTCCCTTGCGACTGGAATATGGAATCCTTTATGGCAGTTTTTGGAGAATGTAAATTGAAAAACTATTTTTATTTATATATTTTTGTTAATTTTACCCTTTACAAAAAACTTGAATTACTAGCCAATCAACGATTGTATAATAGATGTCTCTATTACTACACCTACACCACTGTTCTGTCACTGCAAATCTTCAAAAAAATATTTTAGTTTTAAAGAATATCATACAATTAAAACAGATCTTCAAGTGAAATAAATTTCAGCATAATCAACAAAATTTGCTTATCCATATACACTTAAATTATACAATGAATTTATGTATACACTCACCCACTTTATTACACATTACTAGTACCAGGTTAGACATCCTTTTGCCTTCAGAACTTCCATAATGCACATTCCACCACATCCCAAAGGTGCTCTATTGGATTGAGAACTGGTGACTGTGGAGGCCATTTGAGTACAGTAAAATCATTGTCTCAGAAATAGAATTGTAGCCTCAGTTTCCTGTTCTTAGCTAACAGGAGCATCACCAGGTGTGGTCTTTGGCTACTGTAGCCCATCTGCCTCAAGGTTGGACATGTTGTGCATTCAGAGATGCTCTTCTCTGCTTTGCTCACTGGATATTTTCTATTTTT